TTATAAAATATTTTATCTTTATATGGAGGGACCGCTGGATTCTTGCCTAAAATTGCTATATAAAACTTAAGATTCAAATATAATATTTAATTATTTATTCAAGAAAAATATAAATAGGCGTTTGTATTTAGTTTTATTCAAAAAAAAAAAAAAGAAATATAAGTAGATGTTTGGTTACTTTGAAAAGTTTAATTGACGATTGTCGATCTTTTACTATTAAAAACTGGAGGAAATATCTTATATAATGATGAATCTGTCAAATTGCCACCTCCAATGACAAGGTTGTCATTGTTAAATGTCATAGGTATCATGCGAAGATATGGATGAATGTGAATATGTTGGTAGTGTACTTTGAAGAGATGAGGATATCAATATATTATTGCCAACGATGTTATAAAGACCTGAAGTTGATGTATCATTATTATTTCCGTCAACACCAATACCCTCATCATTAAGTTTCTTGATTAATTCTTTTCTGGCATCATTTGATTTAATAAATTGTCTTTTAGCTGCAGATTTTTTTTTCTAAATCATTTATCATTATATTTATATAAATATAAAAAATAAAAGTTCCTATTTAAAAAAATTCATTTCGAAGCAAATGGAAAAGAATATTTATTTTATGAATATTAATGTCAAATAATCTTTTTATTTTGTAAAATTTTTATATTCACATATATATATATATATATATATACGAAAAATAGATAGTTGCTACCAATAGTAGTAAACTTATATCACCGCCTTCAAAACAGTGCTATTTTTTTAACAACATTGATGGCCATTAATTCTTTCTTTGGTATTTAATTGCAGATCGCAAAATTTAATTGAGGGTTTGGCTTTTTTTTTTTAATTAGTGTTAGTTGATTTATCATATTATATTTGAGATGTCCACCAGCAATACGGGGTCTGAGAACTCCTGGCCAAAATTGAGTTTTTTGCATAATGTATATATCTATTACTATATCATAAGGATTATAATTGTGAAAAATTTAGAACATGTTTACCTAGTACAATAATGAGATACAAGACTTGAAATATTTGCTTTACATATCAAAAACATTCGTGTAACCAATTTTTGTTTCCATTTAATATCCCATTTATAGAAAAATGAATGCAAAAAAATAAAAATTCCTTTAAATTTTTTCCCTTTTTATTCCTATTTAAAAAAATTCATTTTGAGAAAAAAATATAATAAAAGCAACAATTTTTTATTTTGTAAAATTTTTATATTCACATAATATATATTATATATATACGAAAAATAGATAGTTACTACCAGTAGTAACCTTATATCAACACCTTCAAAATAGTTCTTGTTCCAAAGAATCGCTTTCTATTTTTTTTTATCAAGAAAATTGCATATAAAAATTTAATATATTAATATATTATAATTTACGAAATTATATAAGTATTATTATATATTATTAATATTTGCTATTATTTTTATTTTTATTTTTATTTCTATTACTATTACTAATACTTCTATCAAATATTATCATAATAATAATGAATTAAACATACCTGAACTCAAAAAGCATTGGGAGCCTTCATGCAAATCATGACCATTAGCCAAAGGTTCGCTGCCACTATAACAACATTGGTGGCCATTTCTGTTATCAGAATTTTCCTATTAATCAAAGAAAATAAATCAATACTCGAAACAAAGAAAAATTTTTGAAAAAAAAAGATGTTTTATCTTTGGTTTGCGGCCTCTTATTGTGGGTTTTTTAAAAGTGCATTCAAATTCTTTCTCAGCACACCTACTACAAGAGGCAGAAATCTCTTCTATCGTGCATTTCAGATGCGATTTACGACATCGAATACAAGCATTTGAGATATTTTTACGGGATGGATTCAAAAACAATAGGAATTCCAAGTCTTGTTTACGTTGTAGTTCTTGTAATTCCTGCCTATGCCGCTCCTGTATCTTCAATAATTGCTGATGTCTTAATAAATATTGTCGAAATTGTTGTTGGTGTTGTAACTCCGAACGTTGTTTATTTGACATTTTTAATAATTCGAGATAGAAAAATTTAAAATTTAAAATTTAAAAATTTAAATTTAAAAATTTTTCTTTTCTTTAAATTCAATTATATGTTCCTTGTTACACAATTAATTCCGACTTACACAAAGGAACGCCTATCACTATTACTATATATAATCAATTAATAGTAACAGTTGGACAGCTTCAAGATACTAAAACAAAAAATTTTTATACCATTTTAAAAAAGTTAATCGATAGAGGTTTTATTGTTCATGACTCAAACTTCAAAACTTATTGGTTAGTTTTTTCTTAAACTAAAAATTAACATTTTGAAAATTCCCAAATTTATAAAGAAATTGTGACCTTTTTTTCTGTGCTGATAAAATAAATTAGTTCTATTTTTAGGCTGTTGATCTTTCTTTAAAAAATTTTTTTCCCAGTCGAAACGATTTGTCACGCTAATAAAATACAGTGCGGACATCAAAAGTTAAATTTTTTGAAATATTACGTGATCCACATATTGGATTTTAAAAAACCCACCGCCATTCAATTCAGCTTTAAAAAGGGAGTCTATTAATCTAAAAAAAAAATTTGTCTCAAATTATCTTTTTTCATAGATTTTTTATATTTGAAAGTTATGTTCGGAAATACAATAATTATTTTCCGTATTACAATATTTTGAATCTCACGACCCAATTTGGTAATGATTTGCTTTTAATGTACAATGACATATCGTTTGACTAATACAGTCAGGCTCCTATATATATAGTCACATCCTATACAATCACAACTCCTATATAGTCACTGGGCCTTTTGTTCTGATTTTTATATATTAAACTTTATCATATACAGTCACTTTCATAGTATAATCACTATCACCAATATTTTCTGGTTCCACTATATAAATATTCATCATATATAATCACTGATTTATATTATCAATGTAGAAACAATCAAAATTGAACAAATTACTACTGATAGAATAATTGAATCTTTAAATCAATCAGATCTTAGTGATGATTTAGAAAGTTTAGAATATATTAATGATAATTATATTAATGACAACAAATTGAACTTGACAGAAAAGCCCTTAAATGATGATGAAATAGTTCAAATGGTTTTGGATAAAGTAAACAATGAAAATAATGAATCAGAAAGTGAAGATATTGATGAACCAAAAATTATTGTGACTATTGCAAATGTTTTGAAAGCAGTAGATACATTGATTGAATATTTTGAGCATCAAAATGATTTAGAGTTTAATGAGAATGATTATAAAAATTTAAAAAAATATAAAAGAAATATTGAAAGATCTTTTTCTCAAAACACAAAGTTTAAAATCTTTTACAATGATAATTGAAACTATTTCATTATTATTTTTATGTAAATTATAGCATATTTTTGATAAATATTCATAAAAAAAATTTTTTTTTATAATCACTGAATTTTTAAATTTTTATAACAAGTGACTATATAGGAGGGATCTTATACAGTCACATTAGCTATAATCACCAAAATTTCTGGTCCCGACCATGTGATTATAGATTGAAATATCCATTAACTGAACATTTATATCAAATACTTTCAAATTTTTTGTTTTTTGCCATTGATATTTTAATACACATAATTTAATTTTTTTAAATGCAAAAGCAAGGTTCACATTAATATGATATTTGGTTGGAGGTGACATACATTGGAATTTAGCACAAACTTTAAAATAGAACCCTAAATAAGTCAACCCCCTAAATGCACCCCCACAAATGCACACCCTCTCTAAATGCACACTTTCACTTGTTCCCAAGCTCAGGACTTAAGAGATAAGTGTACCCCTCTATACCTGCACTGCACAGTCTTTTTTCATTCCCAACTATATAAAACCATCCTTCCTAAATGCACGCCTAGTGATCACAATCATCATATTCATGAATATTCATTAAGGGGATTTTCGGATTTTTGATAAGTGTAACCCCTTAATGAATATTCATGAATATGATGATTGTGATCACTATGCATGCCTAGAGATGGGCAAAATTGCATAATGCATAATACATGCATAATGCACACTGAATTTTTTTAAATGCACATAATGTCCCAACAAATAATGAACATATATAATGTTACATGAATTTTTTTTTTAAAAAAATTTATTTTATGCCTCTGCTTAGTAAAATTTGGTCTCATTTTACAAAGCTTGGCCATGAGGCCACTTATAAACAAGAAAGAGCTTAATGTAATTACTGTTCACATAAATTTCTTGCTGCTGTAAATTGTTGTGAACAACACCTTAAGAAATGTACCAAAGTTTCACATCATGTACTTAATGATGTAGTATTGATATAGATGAAGATGAAAATGAAAATAATGAATTTCAGAAGTGGAAGGGAATTTAAATGATGAGATTAGGGAAGGTGATGAAGTGATAATAGATCAAATGGGTCAGATACCACCATTGAATTATATGAGTTAGATGGATATGAAAATGATTAAGAAATAATTATTTATTTTAATAAAGTAATTTTTTATTTAGTTTATATTTGTTATATTTACAAATAATAAAATTTTATAAATCGATTATAGAAAAGAATTATGCAAATTAAAAAGTTGCATAATGTCCATCTCTGTGCACGCCCGTGATTTTCACGTGATTTTATGAATTGTTAATCGTGTAACCTTATAATTACATGTTGTCAAAATTAATTTGGCATTGACTTAATTCCCAAATTTTCAATTACTTATATGTTTTTCATATGACTCAATTAATTGCATCAAAAAGTCACCCAATTGAGCCAAGTATAAGCATGTTAGCTGAAGTTGGCTCTCTTAATAATGGTGAAATAGTTTTTCATAAATGCTGAAATTAAATTTATTAGTTGCCAAAATTATATCTGAAATTATTTGGACTCTTTAGCTAAATGCTAAAAGGCTGGGTAGATTTTTTGTGTCTATTGATACAAAGAATATTTTAAATCCAAAATTGCTTGCCAAAATTGATTTTTTCAAAAACCATTTTGGCCAACATTCTTATCAACCTATTTCTACCATAGTTAACAAGTTTGGAAATTGTCCATACAACGAATGAGCATAATCAGTTAATTCTTTTGAAAATATATTAACTTAAAAAAAATAAATACAATGGAACAAATTACAATATATAGATTCATGTATTGAATTTTTTGTAATTTAAAAATTTTAATTAGTGTCACATGAATCACCAATACGTGCAACCAATAAAATGCTTTAATTCCCTAAATGCACACCCTCCCTAAATGCACGCTCCCACTCATTCCCAAGGGGGGTGCACTTAGGGGGGTTGACTGTATACAAAAATAAAAAAAGATGACAGGGAAATTTTATAATTGAGATATCAAATAAAACAAAAAAAAAAATTATACAGCAAGATATTCTCAAGCCACTTCATCCAATCCTCAGAATGCTGTACATTCAGACAATAAAACCACAAGCAAGTGTAATTATTTTTAAAAGAGAAGAAAGTGGTGGTTGTAATGCATTACAACACATTGTCATTCTGGGTTATATATACTTTTTTTTTAATTAATATTATTGTAGGAATGATAAACAAGCTGAATCCTCTCATTACAAACCTTTTGTAAAAGAAATAAAAGAGAGGTGAGCCTATTAAAATATTGCTTTGGGTTAGTTCATTTATACATTTTGCAATTTTTATTTATTTGTATATTAATATGCATTTTAGGTTAATAAAAATAATCGAAACATACAAAAAAAAATTAAAAATGATCAATTATTAATGACAAATTAATTTTATTATTATTGTATCCTTTTTTAACATTAATGGTCACAAAGAAATCTTTATACACATGTTAAGCTTTAATCAAATTTTAACATGTACTTACCAGATCCAACAAAAACAATATTACAGTAGAAGAATTTATTAAAATGCTTGGTATGACAGTTTTGTATATTTCTGTATTTTTAATAAAAAATGGTTTAATTATTCACTAATTATTTTTTAAAATAATTAGATGGCATGCACTATATACAATTTTGATGAAATGCAAAGATTGCTCAAAGAAATAGAACCAAGCTTGAAGGGGTGAATATGATTTAAAAGATCATATAAATATGATCATTCAAATAATTCCTGTATGGATTTGGTTCACATGGGATCAGTGTCTAAAATCTATGTGCGGAATGCTCACTTTGAACATAATAATTTATTTGTGCATAATATAATTTTAGAGATGTGTACCATTTGACCTCTATTTTTTTATAAATTTGTCAAATAAATATTAAATTACAAATATATATTAATGCACAAATCCTTATATAAAAAATCAATACTTATTTTTATCTGATGAACTTTTTCAAATATAAGATATCTTTTTATTCACCCATTCACATTAAAGTTTTTGAAAAGTATTCAAAAATGGATAGATTTGTTATTTATAAAATAAAAGAAAAACATAATGAAAGATCCAAACAGGCAGTAACTACACAAAAGCAAAAAAAAATAAGGAAATAACCAGACAAGAATTAAATAAAGTATGTGAAGATTTTGATACAAATTGGTTACAAGTTTACCCTTGGCTTGGCTTGAAAAAAGTGAAGACAGTAGTAGAAAGGTGGCAATGTTTTTCGAAAAGTATAAACAAAATTAATCAACTGTTTTATAATTTACAGTGAATCCTCCATAAGTACACCCCTTTGGGAATGGATGAGAGTGTACATTTATGGAGGGATGCATTTATTAGAGGGAAATAATTTTATTGATTACACATGATACTAATAAAATATTTTTTATTATAGTGCAGGACCATATATAACAGTTAATTATTATCAAATGACTTTAAAAGCTTATAACTCCTTCCTTATTAAAAAGGAAAAAGAAAAAGAAAAAGAAAAAAGTAAACTGATAGAATTAAAGCTAAATACCTAAGCTACATTTCCGTTTATTTACCTTTTCATTTTATTAGAAAAGTTTTGAGTTATAAGGTTTCAAAGTTAGGCCATTTTATATATGTCCATATGTAAATTGTAAAATTTCGGAATGATCTTCCATTGTAATTTCCTAAAAGGCTGATGATCTACTTAAAATTTTTTCGTGATACAGAAATCTTTCCAATAAAAGAAATCTGATAATTTAATTAATTCTTTATTTTATTTTCCATTACTTTTACTACACATAAATATTTAAAAAAAATCCTTGATCTTTATCCTTATTTTTTTTTTTGATTTCACCTATAAATTTCACCATTTGCATTTGTGAAGGAAGAACAAGAGAGGTGAGCCTATTAAAAATATTGCTTTGAGTTAGTTTGTTTATGTATTTGCAATTTGTTTCTTTGTAAATTAATATGCTTTTTAGATTAATATATTAACAAAACATTAATTGTTTTATTATTACTGTATCCTTTTTTTAACATTAATGGTCACAAAGAAATCTTTATACACATGTTAAGCTTTAATCAAATTTTATTATGTACTTACCAGATCCAACGAAAATAATATTACTGTGGAAGAAATTTTAAAACTTCTGGCAGTGTTGTGCCATTTATGGTTCCAATAAATTTTCATTGGAGCATTCCAACAAATTCTAATTGGAATTGGAACGTTCCAAATGAAGTTAACCAATGAAATTCAATTAGAGTGCGTCACACACAAATTTTATTGGTCAATATCAATTGAAGATCTACATTGAAACATTACAATGTTCCAACCGCACAACACTGACTTCTGGTATGACAGTTTATGACAGTTTTGTATATTTCTGTATTTTTAATAAAAATTATTCACTAATTATTTTTAAAAATAGTTACAGGCTGGATTTGGATAGAAAATGGATCCAAATTCATTTTTCAATTAATAAAAAAAAGGATGATATCCAGTGGTGGCATCAACAATCAATAAATTTAGATTATTATTCACCAAAATTGTTCGTTGAGTTAAAAAAAATAAGTGAATTTTTATTTCGATTGATACTATATTTGCAAAATTTTTATTTTTTTAAAGTAAAGTGTAATTTCATTTTTAAATTAGAGATGCGATCCGTGGATGATCAATTCGGACAATCCATTTAAATCAGACGGATGTATTTTTTGAGCAATTAACAGATGACGGATATCCGCGGATCGCATCTCTATTTTAAATGTAAAGATTATTTTAATATTCTTTCATATTAATTAACATATAACAAATAATAAGGCTAAAACATTAATCTTATAATTTTTTTTCAACGATTCTTTAATGCTAATTTGGTGCAGATAAATAGGTTTACACCTAATGCGGACATTCTCCGAAAGGCTTATCCTATCTTACCTGGACGTGGTGGAATAGGTTAACCCTAGGCTGGACAAATTCCGACGGAAAATTCGCTAAAATCATCCGGAGCATTCACTACATTCACCGTGATTATCCGTGATTATCACCGGGTAAATATGCCCCCGGCGAGGTAATATAGGATAAAGCCTATTTTGTACAACTTCCCCTCACTATCCCTGTCCGCATGTGCTGTAGGTTTATTAGTTATTTACTTGCTGGTGGATTTCATTGGTAATCCTTTCTTTTCTTAGATAAGCTTCAAGTGTCTAAGCAAGCAATTTTTTCACCTCGTTCTTTTTTCAAAATACTTCTAACGGTGCTATAATTTTTGTATCTGATATAAATGAGTTTCATATTAACTATTTTTATCCAGAGACAATCATAAGCAAAAACAACTATAATGATCACATTACATTAAAATATAAACACTTGGGCTGGTACCCTTTTGGAATTTCTTTCGATTGTCGAATGATCCGATCCTTAATTTACGATCTCTTCATCATCAATATTTTCCTTTCCTTTGGTTCCCAGTTTCGCCAAATTATCCATCTTCTTTCTTCATTCCTTACTGGTTTCTTGATATTTTTCCAGTTTACCGAATAATAAAGTTGAATGATTTGTTAAAAGTTAAAAAGATTGTATATAAATTTATAATTCATCATTTTAGTTGAGTATACAATCGTAAACAATATTGAACATGAGAAAATGATTGAATTATTATATATGATTTGAAAAATGGTGTAAGGCCCGCCTTTTTTCTCCTAAGAATTTAACAAACTTTATATTGCAGGATCATGAAAATAATAATAAATAACTAGTAAATCATCACAATCCGATTATAATAATTCAATGTTATGGTCCATCAAAGAAACGGACATCATAATGGTGATAGTTATTATAAAGATAAAGACGGAAATTGCGAATATAATAGACATGATAACAGTTATTCTGCACCACACCAAAGATCTTCTCCTAAGAATAGCAGTAGTAAGTATCAGCAATATCGGTAATAAAAATTCAAATAAGCAAATAATAATGAACAAAAAGCAAAAGAGGAGAGCAAGAAGCAATTAGAGAATGATATTACTAAACTAAAACAGCAATCATGAGAATAAGGAAAATAACCCTGAGCAACAAAAAACCTTCAGAATAAAGTTAAGGCAACAAAGAGTCAACTGAAGAAAAAGTCAAAATGGTAGTCAGGCTCATAATTAGAAAGTCAATTGAATTAAACCCAAACAATCAAAAGTAAAAGAATGAATTTATATCTTTTGAATTTTGTTACTCCAACTATTCTATATTAATATGGAGAAAAGTTTGAAATATCACAATGTTAACCCTGAAATTACTATGTAAAATTCGAAATTAGTATTAGATTTTGAGCAATAAAAAAATTCTGTTTTAGCAAAAATAATTAAATACAAATTTTGTTTGTTAATCAATACATTATCTAATAAAGACAACAGCAAATACTAAAAAAACTCATTTCATTTTTAAATAAAATATACAATGATGATGATGATTTTTGAGCATCTTTCTTCATCTTTCTTGAGTGTACCAAGGAATGCATGTTTTTTCTTCTGCAGTTTGGAAATGAACATGACCAAATTTTGAGCTTGTATCGATAAACTAAATAAAATATTAATTTTTTTGGCCGTTAGTAATAACACTTGTAATGTACACACATATACACATGTAAGAAAAGTTTTTCACAAACCTTTAATGAAATAATTTCCAAAGCCGAGTGTTTTGTATGAGTGAGTAATGTTTTTCTTAATGTGAGAACACTTTTTTTAACACCGATACATAATCCTTTAAGCATAGTACTATATATAAAAAAAAAAAAACATATAAACCATTCATTTATTCATTCATGCATTTAATTCCAAAGAGAGAGATATGTAAAGTAAATTTACTTACAATACCATAATGAGGAAACCACCTAATGGAGTAATTTGTTTTTTGTTTATATCATATTCTGTCGCTGCATTACTTTTATCTTCACGATAGATCTTTTTGTTGGCTTCTGTTCGATGGTGATAACCACTTTGACCAGCCCATGGAACAGGGTACATTACCTTTTAATCATACGTATGCATTTATTATTTGGTTTAAGGGATGTTTTTCAGAGTGTATTAATGGTTTTAGAATTTTTACCTTGAAGGATGCCATGCACCTATAATAAAAATAGATAAATGTTAAACAATATATAATATATTGAGATTAAAAAATATCAGATATTAAATAATTAAATAATCACCAATACAAACAACTTTTCGAAGACCTTTATGAGTTTACGTGGGAGTTTTTTTGTTCCCCAACGATGTGTTATACCTTCAAATCCTTTGTCACATAAATAACATCAATAATATCATCAGGAACTTTATGCTCAAAGCTTGATTGTGCCCAATCAACTTTCTGAGCAATTGTGCCACCATTAACTTGAATTTCCATCAGATGAGCTTTCTTTTGACCAATTTTTCAGATGAATTTGAGTATGGGCTAATAATACACGTAGCACCTGACAATATTTTTTGATTCTTGCCAATTCCTTATCGACCGATTTAGGAGTGTCTGAACATTTCTTTGCATACTTTGTGAAGGCTTTCTTTTTGGAACAATATCAATTTTTATAAAATCTTCGTTTACTCTCATCAATTAAATGCTGAGACCAAACTGTAGTCAACCTCTTGGAGTTTCAACATAACCAACAACGTCAACAATTTGTAATGGGGGATGTTTCAATAATATTAACTGCTTCTACAACCTCTTTCTTGTGCATTTCTATTTAATTGTTCAATTTTGATTAGACGACAAATATGTTTATATTATTTTGTTTTATTATCCAATTATCATTCAGCCCTATTAAAATTGTATTTACTTGATCCAGGACGATCCAAATCTCGAATATTGGTGTAGGACAAATGTGGCACACATTAAACCCTCCTTTGTAGAGTAACCCAGGTAGGTGTCACACAACTGTAACCGTGACCCCAAGTTGCATATTATACATGTTAACTTTAGAATCTTAACATGCATGATCTTGAAATATTCATTTTACTAATAAATAAATTAAAACAATAAAGACATGATTATTGAATTATAAGAGGAATAGTTATTTAGTTCTTGCTAAAAATAATCGGATTTCACAAAACCTTTCTCTTACTTTATTGGTAAAACAATGTATAGTTGTTTATTATTGAAACTTATATGTAAAAAGAAACAATGAACTAGAAAATTTTAAAAATAGAAAATTTTTTTTCACTATATACTAAATTCACTTCTTTGTCTGTCTGAATTTGATTTTATTAATGTGAAACCGTCGATCAAAAATTCAATTCATTCTGATTTCTTAATATGGTAACTCTGTTATTGCAAATCATTTGTGTTTTGCGACGCGTCTATGTCAATTTTAATTTTTAAAAAAAATTTTTTTTTTTTCTGAAAAATAAATTAAAAAAAAACAAACGATATGTCGGGTATTTAATTTCAAACATTTTTTTCCGTAACAAAAATTTTTTAAATTGTTAATTCAAATGTTAATATATATATATAAATTTACTTTTAAAAACAATTAATTTGCGAAAATCAATTAAATGCGTTGTAAAAAGTAAATAAATAATAAATAATAAATTAAATTCTTGTATATTTTGAAATCTGATACATTAGTTGCATATTTGTGTATTAATAATAATATTATTTACTATTAATAAAAAAATACGATCCAAAAAAAAAAAAAAGTATGGAGGCTGAGGAATATTTATTATTATATTCTATTACTATTGTCCGTATGCCACATTTCATTTATCACACTATTTATTCATCGTGACAATAATTACTATTACCATATTATTATCGTTATTTGATAAATTTTCATTCATCCATATCCAATAACCTGAATGATGAATATTGGAGATCGAGCAACAATTAATCCAAAAGAAACACCTCCCTAAAATCAACTTTATTATTATTATTATTGATAAATAAACAACGATTTTCTTTTTTTAACAACTTTTGAGGAAAATTGAATATTATTTTTACATTTATGTTTACATAAAAAAAAATTCTTCCCATTACCACAATTTAATAATATATGGAATCTTTTCTAATTTTTTAATTATAAACCCAAAAAGGCATCGGAAAATGTGATCCGGATAAATCATGTCATGTATGATCTTTGTTTTATTGCTGAATAAATTTTTTTTGTCATCTCGTAAAACAAAAATTTGGGCTTTCTATCGTATACAGACCATAATATTTATCTATCGGAGTCAACAAAGCGACAAAAATACATATAAATGATACCAAATTTATCGCTTAACAAAAGGTTTGGAATTGATGCATACTAATACCTCAAAACAACAATGGAAATGACGGTTTTTCTAGAAATATATAAAGAAATATTTTTTTGTAAATTTTTCAAAGAGTAGTTAGTTATTTTGGTCAAATCAATAATTAGTTTCACTGCTACTTAAGGAAATAGCGACGCAATCTTTTATTAGATTCTTTTTTCTTATCATTATTGCCATTATTGTCAAAAATCACACGCACATCCATATTTTCTTGAAATCTATATAAAAACACTTGAAAAACATTAGTTTTACTCATTTCCCTTCTCAATTTCATCCATATTCCTTCCTCACCAACCTCCCTCTCTTCACGACATAAACAATAAATAAAATGTCTAAAAACTTAAAAGTCAGACCTGATCCTATCACAATCAAAATCAGGAAAGACGTCGATAATGACAAATATTATATCAGGCTCGGATCGAGCGCTGAAGAAACATTCGACTTTCCAGACCCCCAGAGCATTGTACAAGTGTGCAAAGGGCTTAGACCGCCCTCAAAATTCATCCTTTTTAGGATAACGCTCCAGGGTTACCTCGCACAGAGGAAGCTGGAGCGATGTCGGGTTTCCAAAATAGCTTCACAATTATGGAGCAGTTTGGATCAGGAGTTCAAATTTCAATTTGAGCTCCTATCCAACATGGTTAGGAAATCGTACAAACAGAAGAAGTTGATTATACAAATGTATAATCGTAAGTTCATTGTTTAAGATATTTTTCTGATATTATTTAATACTTGATAATTGATAATTAATCCTTACAAATTATTTTAGCATCATCTTCGTCGCCTTTGACAATTAATGACAGCAGTGAAGATCGAAATAAAGAAACCAATAATATTATTTCGATCGAAAAGAAAGAAGTAACTAATGAGGAAAGATTGGAGATCGCCACCCAATTGTTTCCGGGTTTCTCAGAATTTTTATCATAGCTCCTCTTCTCTTCTTTTCTGGAAATCCTGGTAAAGTTTGTAATTACCACTTTTATCTCAAGCAAGTTTCAATTTACCTGCTAGATTAAGATTAAAACATTAGAATCAAATATATATATATATACATTCATTCTTATTTTTTATTTCGAAAAAATTAAGTTGAATTATGCAATCGTTTTTTTTTTTTTAAGATTTAATATATGAAAAGAATCATCTGAACATCTTTTTTTAAAAATTTAGAATATGTTTGTAAAAATCATATGCATAATTAAGAACAATTAAAACTTTACGCTTTGTCATGATAGAGAGTGATTAGATTAAAAAAATTTTCAATTTTATTTTTTTAAAAAATACTAAATTAACCAAAACCGAGTGGGAGAAAATTTTAGTCGTCAGATTTAGTTGGTAAAAATATACAAACTTCCAAAAACTACGGTATATGGTAGATACCATCATACGTTATGAAATGCTGAAAGCCTAAAGGGTACACTAAAAAAGTACATTAAATTGTTAGTGAATATTTTTTTTTGAAATTTAATGATGTTGAGTACAATTCCAAAAAAATAGTTATTTGGGAGATGGTTTTCTGCCAAGGGATGGTTAAAAGTGAACCATTTGATTACATCAATTCAAATTTCAGGGCATAATCTCAACCCCCAAAAAACTCGACAACCATCCAAAAATGGGAAAATTGCTTTGGAAGAGGATCAATTTTGTGACTCGAAAACTCTTTGGGGAAATCTCGAAACTAGTTTAGATTTAAATTTAGGGTTTGGGTTTGGTTTAGGTTTAGTAAGAATTCAAAGAGAATTTGGGGTCGCAGCATTGTATAACATCCCTCAATATTAAGGAATTTATTGATGATCATCATGACATAGTGATGTGTCGGTTTTTAGCATTCCCCGTTATATAACCATTACCAAGTTTATACATATCACCAAGTTTATGATCAATATTTATGTAGCACGGGATTTAAAAATTTTTTTTTTGTCTGTTGTGATGAGACCACAACATTTCATCCGAAAGTATTTTGTAACAGGAAGGGGGAAGGGCATCAGTCAACATAATACGCCTCTTGTGACTATTGGCATATACTTCTTCCTGTAAAAAGAAATACTCCGTTATTTTAATTTCAATTCCAGAAATATTCTGAAAATATTCCATAAATTCGCAACGGTAATAAATTACATGTTTCCTTTGCAAATTTCTCCCAATAGATATGATACATTTCTGGAAAAAATACGGAGTTTAAAATATAGATATTTTTTTTATAGAGTCTTGTAATAAATGATTCATCTAGTGAATCGAAAAATTTGTTAAAGGAAAATAGAATTATAATAAAAATAAACAAATAATCATGAAATAAGTTTTATAGTTTTACTTTATGTATATATATAGCATATTAATATACCATTGTTGATTTTTTGTGACATTTTAGCTGTGGTATATTATGATATACCAGGTATAAATTTGTTATGTACCATCAAAATCCGTGAGTACATTTGTAATCAGAGTCGTGCAATTTCGCTGTACGAAAAGAATCTTAGTACAAGTACAATGTACTATGGTACTTGGCACGACTGAGTCATGATGATAATAAGATTACAAAATAGAAATTCTAATACTAATACTAATACTAAATATCTATTAAAATAACGGATTATAGTCCGTTAATAATAATAATAATAACAATAATAATAATAATAACAACAACAACAATTTTTCTACAGCGACGATAATATTAGATATTATTATTATAGGAAAGAAGTAATATGGTGCACATCATCTAAAGACGACACTAAAATCGAAAGCCAATAACTCCTCAAAATTTTATGATAATAAAAAAAGTAAAACGATAAGCTTCATTTCTATCGGTTTACTTTTTTCATTATCATAAAATTATTGGCTTCAAAGTATATATGCCTGCCTATATGTAAATTTTAAAACTTCAGACTCTTATTTTATTGACCAATTTTAATTTATTTAATTGCCGGTAAATCACGTGATAATGTTTGTCGACGATTGTAATTAAACTCCTTAAAATTGAATGATTGAAAATATAATTAATTTGTAAATTTATAATGGGTCGTGTTTCTAAAAGTAAAATCAAGAGAGAATTTCCAATGGTTTGTTTGGTAGGAAAAGATATTGGAGTTGCTGAATAGATAATTAAATAAGACTTATTATTATTTATTATCACTATCCTTTTTTAGAAAATGAATTGACAAGATACTTTTTTGATTATTTTAATTATTATTCTTACGCAGTTTTGTTGTCGTCTCTCAAGATAAAAATATATTTACAATAAATTAAAAATATTTTCCTGCTCTTTTTCAAGTTTCCTTATTTAAAAATAAATTATGTCAACATGCGTAGTTTTCAATAATGAAATGAAAACACAAGAAGTTCACTCTTGCATTTGTGTTTAAAAGGGAATTTGATATACTTTCCATGGGTAGTAGAACATAGAACATTTCAGGGTTGGCAATAGACTGGGTCCCATTGAGACTAACGAGTTTTGGTCTGGTCCATTTCCATTAATAAAATACTAAGTATGGTTAAAATGTTACACTAATGGATCGGTACCGGAACATTTAGCATTCGGTCCAATTACAGCATTTCGAAAACATTGGCATTTTGGAATTTGGATTTTAAAAAAGCAATGTCCAAAATAATTTCGGTTTTGGCAAATGTTTCGAATTTGGCCAACGGCTTTTGTTTTCGGCTTTAAGCTTGGAAACTTGTCTCAACAAATCAAGTTCTGATGATATTAACTGTTTTATTTACAGAGCAGATTTATTTTAAAATTTCAAGTCACATCAAAAGCCCAAGTAGTGGGTAAACTTGTTAATTTCAGATTAATCGATGTATACGCTTGTTATTAGGGCTTGGAATTTGTTCCGGAGAGAAACAGATTTTAGAATTTCGACCTGTATATGCAGATCTGTATTTTAAAAGACTTTTGTAAAATATTGGATTCAAAATTATGATGATTTATTAGTGGGTATGTGTTGTGGGAGAAATCAAAAATAGATTTCCAAATGTTGAATTAATAGATTCTTTTAAAATACTTTATCCAAGATATAACGACTTATTAAATGATTTGTATAATTTTCAATCAATTAAAATCCGACTGCTATAATTCTAACAGGATTTTTCGAGTCCTGCTTTCTATGTGGAAATATACTGTAAGTTGCGAATTATTTTTATATTATATCCGAAAAATCAATCCTTGTTATGGAAAAACAATCCATAAACCGCAGTAAATGGACAAAATTCTTTTTTTTATTATTAACACGTACTTCATTAACTGTTAACTAAACAAATTTGATTTAATTTGTTTATATGTTTATTGGTTTAGCAGAAATTACATTATTAAATTTGTTTATTGCATTAAAAATTATTTCTTTCCTTTAATACTAAATTACTGCAACTTGCAATGTTCAAAAACATATAACAAATAAATTTTTTAATAAAATCAAAGATACTATATCTCAAAAGTCAGTGTTGCTCTCTGTAAATCACAAAGTTCCAAATCGAATAAATTGATTATATTAGTACATCAGGAGATTTTTCTCGCAATGATATTACACCCGTAAGTTTTAATATTTGCATAAAATTTCACTGAATATAATAATTACATAATTTTTGTGTGATTTTAGGAAAAATTTCCTGATGCCTACGAATACCGCTAGCTGAACCGTTGAATATTGCAGTTTCCGGGATGCTTATTTGATAGTTTTGGATTTCAGGGTGATTGCATTGGAGTGCTAAATGTCTGCTGATACCAATAATATCTTGATCGGATACACCTCTGCCTCTGAAAAACACTAACGTGTTATGATGCATGGGAGCCGTCCCAAAAATTTAACTAAAATAAGCCTCTCAGGATTTTGTGCGCTGATATAAAAATGCTATAAATGCACGGTTGCCATCTTTGCGACAACCAAATATCTTGACCACAAGATATACTTGTATAGTGGTCTTTTGGGAAAAATATCTTCTTGCTAAGGAATGCAAAATTTCAAGTCCCTCGGACAAGCCGGCATCCACAACGACCGTTAAATATGCACATCCAGACTTACAACGTCCCTGTACAACCGAAGGTTGTGAAACTTGTTCAGGTTAATAGATACATCAGGTTGGAGCCTGAATTCCTATCCACAATAACATCTCGCTCATCAAAGATCATTAGATCATTGTTCATAAATTTTCCAACTTCTCCAACTACTATTCCGTGAGGCCTGAGAGGTACTTTACTTCATATATCATCACTTTTCCATCAAGTAAACACATGCCGACTCTGAGCCCTGTCTCTCCTTTGTGACAATTAAGGGTAGGTTTCAAGTGATATGTTTTTGGCAACAACAACAATTTCACTTTCCAATTCATTTATGGCCTCTTCTTCTGTAACCTTCTCTCCCATAACCATAACCATCACTTCCGTACCTCCTCTCTCTTATAGTGCAAGTAATTGTTCCCTGGCTGAGTCAAGGACTTTTCGGCCAAGTTGAAGTCTGGTATTAGGTACTAGTGCTGACAAGTACAACAATGCAGAGATTTATACATTTTGATTTAAGGGATTAATTGATTATATGAAATAATTTAGGCGTAGATTATCGATGTCTGAAATTCTCAATGATCTTTAAATAGACATGGTAATAATATATGATTTCGATTTCTCAAATTTGGTACCTAAGATTAAATAAATTTATGAGGGCATATTTTTTAATTTCTGAGGGCGTCCGTTAAAATAAATGGATCAGCACCAATGATGCACATAATTACTCCTATATAAATGGGTAAATTTAATAATGTTAAAAAAAAATGTTACTAATATTAACAGGGTAAATTTGTTATATTAAACCCTTGGGTAAACTTAATATAAAAATCATGAAAATTGACTGGGACCTCAATTAGAAGTTTCCGGGTCCCTTCCACATGTCACGACTTTCACTTCATCATCTGATTTACCACCATCAAGAACGTCAAGCCACAATACACCTTTGAACATGTTGAATGTTGTCCAATGCCAACCCTGTCTATGATCAATATCAGTTTTGCTCATCTAATTTTTTTTTGGAAACGATTTTAAGGAATTCTACAATTTGTAATTAATTGTATGTAATTAAGAAGCATACACGCAAGAAAAGGGAACCAAGTAGAGATTCGGTCACTAAAATTTTCCAACCCTGCCAAGATTTCTCATCTTTTGTTCATCAGGACATCTTTTAAAATCGGTTTCTTAAATTTCATTTCTGCATGATCTTGGAATTGTCATTGCTTGGGCGATGCATTTATTTATTAATCAGGAATATATTTCAAATAATAATCATCATGAATATTGTAACGGACATATACAACAATTTATGTAGACAAAAGCATTCATTCATATTCAAGGGAAGGATCAGATAACAACAAAAAAGATCAGTAGTGTTTTGTTCAACTAAGAGAAATCATAAAGTTTAATTTGTAATCAAATTTAGCAATTTGTCATGAAATTGACAATTTTTTATCTTATCAAAAGTAGAAGGGTTTTGGAACTGTAATATTAAAGGCAATTAACTTTTATCTGATATGTGTGTGTGTATAATTTATAATCGTTGTTTGTGACTGTTGTCATAGAAAATTTTATCATTATTATCATATCAAGATTTGCAAACAGAAAACAATGATACTTTTTATGATTTGCGCTTGAATTCTTATGCAGCAGGAAGGGTTGTCAACATATTAAAAAGTAGGTGCAAAATGAAAATACTATGGAGGGCTTAATCTGCGTCAATTTAATTAGTTAGTTTCGGTCATTTTAGATAGGATAGTAGTATTATGTTGAAAGAATAACGATTATTTTAATAAAAATATGTCTTTATTAAATTATATTTTATATATAAAAAAAAAAAATTCTAATATCAAAATATTATTCTATTTAACTTTTTTCCTTTTTTTTAAATTTGTAATTTCTGATTTCCTTGAATTGTTTTTCAAATATTCATTAACAACGATTTCATCATCAACTTTCTTTAAACTACTTGACCTATCACCACCGGCACTTCCAATTGAATATAAAATAGTTCCTATAAACACACAAGCACCTCCTATACCCATACCAATATGAAAATCGTTATCAAAAAACAAGACTGACAAAACCAGGGAGATAAATTTACGAAGATTTAGCACAAGGTTTACAGTTAATGCTGATGAAACAGAGTGAAGTCGATGAACTCCTGATATACAAAGATATCTAAAAAACAATGAATTGTGTTATAAATATCAAGTTAAAAAAAATAGTTGAATAAAGAAATAAAATATTTATTTCTTTACTTACTGTGTAAGCACGTTCATGATCAAGTATAGCCAAGTTCTTGGCAAAACGCAATAAGATAAAGCATTATGGATTACATCGGAAGATGCAAAAATTTTACCACCAGAGAAATCATTGACAATTTCCTCTAATGACACATGAGGAGATTCATTCAATAATAAAACTTGACTTTTTATGTCATCATAAAATATTAAGAATAAAGGAAGCGCAAGAAAATGCTAATATAAATTAATTAATTAATTGATTAATTTAATTAGAAATGAGACAATTAATATAATAACAACAATAAAATGATTTCACCTACGGTATAAAATAATCCTTCGCGCCAATCATTTGATCTGTTCATTTCTTGATATAAACCCATAAAGCAAGATAGTACCAATGCAACTGTAAGAATCATTATTCCAAATATATAGTCAGCTGTAAAACCAGAATTTTTATCTTCCTATTTTACGATGATAATGAAATGTGACATCTTGTCATATTTCAGATAAATCCGTGATTTGTAAAAATAGTTTTTAAAATTAAGTAAAATGTAAATTATTTGTTACCACTAATTGATTGTTTGCAGAACTTAATGTAGCGAATACAACACCAAAAGTTATCATGATTACTGCCACAATTTGTGTGAGCGCATATCTATGATGAGATGACAGCTTCATTAGATCAGCAACAGTTGTGAGAAGAGGGATATTGATTGAATTAAAACAAACCTTTTACCAACTAAAGCCCAACCTAAAATCATACTAACTATTAATCCACCACTTCGGAAAATGATATGAAATGGCAAAGATATTTCATAGCCCAATGCAGCATTATTTAAGATCGATACGGTAAAAAACATTATTACTAAGATAAACCAACGATATATTGGTATAGAACGTGGTTTTAAACGTGGAATTAATGTGGATGATGATGATGATGATGGCGAAACTTGGAGATTGTATAGTAATCCTTCAAAAGAAATTAACAAAAATTGAACAAATGTAATTAATTTTCCTAAAAAAAAAATAAAAAAAAAGCACAAAAAAATATTAGTTTAAAATTAAAATTGATCAATCAAATAAAATAATTCAAATTAATGTTCTGATACTTGCCACTTTTAGGTGCATCACTTTTAAAAGATGGGAGAATAAATCAATAATTTCAATCAATAAAACAATAAAAACAAAAAAGAAATCTTCATTTAGATATACTACTAACCCAATTATTAATTCTAAAAATATTACATTGCTACAACAACCACCAAAAACTAAGCTTCCAATTAGAATCCAGTTGGTGAAATGATTGTAATTTTTATACGACGTCTCTGACATTTTAAATTTGTTTTTTTTTAAGAATTTGGATTGTTTGTTTAAATAGTAAAAAATGATCATCTAATAATTGGCCATTTTAAAACTTTGTTTACCCGAGGAGAATTTACAACCCGTCCCGTTAACGACTTTTTTATTCAAAAAGGAATTTTTAAACTGATTATAATAATGATAATAATAATAACCATTTATTATGCATGATGAAAGGTCGATTCTTAATGTGTATAATCATTTCCTTATAAATTACATCCCAAAATAGCAATTGGTTGTTACGAGATGTAACATCACATGACTCAATCACTTGCATCAAAATTGGCCAATTAATATTAATATTGCTAGAAACAAAAATATATTTTGGGAAGCGTATATACATACATACTGAATAAATATGTGTAGTTTAATTGTAGAATCAATCATGGCAGTTTATAAAGAAAAAAAATTTGAGCTCGATGTTAAAAAAGCAATGGATTACCATAAAATAAATCTTATAAGAACCGAGTACGTATTTTTTTACTAGTAATTGTTGAATTATTATGTATTTGAAGTTACACTGTTACTAGGATTTAAAAGAAAAGACCTAATTTATGGTGGATGACCTGATTATGAATGTTCTTTCTTTCATCCAAAAAGCTGCTGGTTGCAGTGACAGGGCCTGTAGTGAATATTATTTTTTTACGTATATTTTATTAGTCAGTTATATCATTTATATAAGAGAAAAATATCTAATAAATAATTTGAATAATTATTTTAATGATGTGATAGTGTTGTCGTTGCCATTAAAAATTAGCAATAGATCAAATTAATATTGGCTATGTAGTAATGCAAAGTGAAATTCTTTATGTTTAATAATGATCACTTGTAAAATTTTTCTATAACAATTAAAGAATAATTTTCTCTTCTTTATCCAATATTAATATCAATATTACCATTACTATTACTACGTTTTATCAGTCATCCGTGATTTCACGAGATCGACATGTCTACTTATTTTTTTACAATGCCCATTTTTACATACCAATCGTTTTAGTTGATTTTACATACCAATTTCTCAACAAAAGCCAATTTCTACTCATTTTTGATGATACCAGTTCAAATATAATTATCCGAGGTCCCTACTTGCACTGTATATATACTCTGTATAGACAATTTACATATTGGACGATCATCGTTCAATAAAATAAAAAAGTCAATGAAATTGAATATCAATCATACCAAATATGTCTACTTTTCACGATGTTTATTATTTTATCCCTCTTTTTTTTTTTAATAATTACTAATAGACAAATAATATCAAGAAAAATGCCAATTCCATCATTTACGCGTCCTAGCAAAACCATGAAATCAGTAACTTTAAATAAATCTAGATCAAACGAGGTAGATATATTCGGAGACGACAATGAAGAGCTTTCAGATGCTATGGATAGTTATTCAGAGTTTGGCTCGGATGTTTTAGATGGTTCAGACGATGATTATAAAAGTAAACCAATGAAAAGCAAAAAAAAAAAAACCCCCCCTGCTGAAAGTAATGCTAGTAATAGTAGTAATGGACAAACAACAAAACCTGCACGACAAAAAAAAACTGATCAGAAAGGAAAAACTCAAATAAAGGATCACAATATTGATAAAATCAATGAAAATGAAGAGATTGCACCCAAAAATCCTGAATTGGCACCTTTGTTGGAGTCGAGAAAGATTGTTGATCAAGATTTTGCAGAATTTCTTCCAAAGAGACGAAACAGTAAAAAATCAAAAGAAAAAGAAATCAATTTGGATGTGTTGAACGATTATGAAGCTGCCAATCTATATAAAGTTATGTTCCAAGCTGCTGACGATGATGTCAAAGGAATTGAAAGTAAACAGCCATGTATTAGAAAAACAGACCTTTTGGAAGATGTGATGGCACAATTATCCAAACCATACCTTACAGAAGCACTACTTGAACACAATATCCTGCTTGCAATTAAGTATTGGCTGGAACCTTTACCTGATAGGTCATTACCAAGCATCACATTAATAATTGAAATGCTGAGTCTTCTTGATAAAGTTTGTATAATAAATTATCTTGGTTTTTTTTATTATAATTAATTCTATTTAGTGAAAAAAAAATAATTCTTTTTTTAAACCAAAAATTTAATTAAAAGTACCCTATTACAACTGAACATTTATTTGCAAGTAAAATCGGAAGAATTGTTTATTTTTACACGTTGACAAAACGTTGTCCGGAAACTATAAGACAATTAGCTACTCAACTTGTAGAAAAGTGGAGTAGACCAATACTTGGATTAAGTGACGATTATCGAGAAGTAGCTGTTGCACATAATCAATACTATCAAGAAAGGTAGGCAATTAAGTATAAGATAAATTTTGTTTATCTCATTATTGATAATATTTTATTGCTACTACTATTGATGCTCTACTTTTAATACTTACTATTATTTATAATACTAATATTAGTTTACTACGACAACAAGAAAATCAATTGTAAGAATGACTTAAAATTTATTTATTTGTTTAGAAGACCATCCTCGAACAAATATTTGCTTATTAAATAAACAAATTGTTATTATCTTAGTATTGAAGATATGGAGTTAGCAGGATCTTCAAATCAAGACAATTTTAACCAGTCAAGAAATATTTCAGTTCGTAATAAAGAAGATCCCTACCAATCATTAACAAAAACCATGAGGAGGTTGGAAAGAAATAACAAAAGAAAGTGATCGAATGAGTTGATTAATGGTGTTTAAGAAATTGAATTTATATGATTTGCAAATTAAAAAATAAACTTGTAATATGATCAACATTTAAAAAAAAATTTTCGATGTTTTTTTTTCTTGTTATAATTATCAGCTTATCAATACAACAATTATTTGTTAGTTTTTTATTTTGTATTTATGGTGTTTAATATAAAACATATACGATGAAGTTTACACCTGAATTCATTGAATATTCGCCATCTTACATCAATACTGTAAAAGATCCCAAATTAAACCTACAAGGTATCCTTTAGAAAAATAATAAATCTGGATTTTTAATAAATTTTTCGTTTTTATTGTTCCCTCCCCTGATTTGAAAATTATTTTTTCTTTTTTTTTTATTAATAGGTAATAAAATTCCTACTATAGAAAATCTTGGTGTATCAAAGGTAATTGATGATTGGAAAAAATAATGAATTACATATATATATAATATATATTTACAAATGAGTTAAATCATACATTTGTTTCATAATATTGATTACGATAAATTTTCTTGAAAAAGAAAAGGATCTAACAGACAATGACATTCGCACATTGAGTAATTTCCCATTACTATGTCATATTTGTACGCTATCATTAGCCAATAATCGAATTAATTGACTAGATCCACAACTATTTGATTGGTTTTAACAAACAACAATATAATGGAACTATCTGATTTGCAACCATTAAATGGATTTAAAAGATCACAATATATAAGTTTACTGGATAACCCAGCGACCCGTCCCCTGTCCTTTTCTATTATTCATGGGGAATCTTGAGAAGGACGGGTGAAAATTGACGAGTTTACTGCGCTATTACTGCCCGTCCCTGGCATTAATAATATTTGTGATATTGTATAATAAATACAAAATAATAATGTAATGAGAAAATAAATCTTTCAATTGTGTAAGGCATAATTGGAAATTATTAATGCTAATCAAACAAGATTTTGGTTGCAATCAATTTCATGATTCATATGACGAGTATTATAAAAAAGGTTTAGCTACAACAGTCAATTTTAATGGTAATCAGACATTTTCTTCAGACATAAATTCTATATCATTAGTTCAACAACAAGATGATAGAGAAAATTTACAAGAAATTGAAGATGATGCTGATAAATTGATATATTTAGCTGATGTGGTTGATAATGAAGTTCCAAACATTTAATTTATTTGAAAAAATTTAGAATGTTACAGTTGGCTCTGGATATAGTGAAGCATTTGTTTTTGGAAAAACTTCATTATATAGTACGATTCATTATATAAAAA